TGGATCTCTGTGAGTTCGAGGCCAGCCTGGTCTCCAGAGCGAGTGCCAGGACAGGCTCCAAAGCTACACAGAGAAACCCTGTCTCGAAACACCACCACCACCAACAAAAAAGTCCATCATGTTCCACATGAGCGGCGCTCGGGTTCGACCACTTTCTCCCTCTGTCCCCCGGGAAACCGGCTCACCAACCAGGGCTGCGAGCTCCCTGCCTGTTGGGAGGCTTTAAAAAGAAAGCTAGGGCCTAGAAAGAACTTCAAAAACACCAGCAGCAAAAGCAAGCCCTGGGCTCCAGGACCGTCTGCTTGGAGAAGCGCACAGAGTGGCGGGCGCCCGGCCGCCCCAGGCAGAGCACTTTGTGTACGCAGCTGGAGTTGCTGTCTTCCTTTAGCCTCCAGCCCTCCACAGTCTTCAAAAGAAAGGAGAGAGACAGAGAAAGGGGCTGAGAGGGGGAAACCTAGTACTTTGTTAGCTCCACCTTGCACGTTTACAGAGGACCTCAGAAACGACCTGTTAAAGACTGGAGGGTGCAGAGGCCAGGTGTGGGCTGCTTGCAGGCTGCATGTGAGCCTCCAAAGCCACCCTGACTCCGCTGGCAGCATGCAGCACACCTCTCCCCACTCTCTCTCACTGGAGCCTGGTGACATCTGTCAGTGCAAGAACTTGACGACACCACACAGCCGTGAGAATTGTACAGACCACTTTAATTTTGATCATTTATTTGCACTTGCCAGTTAATAAGTAAGCCACATGCTCTAACGAGCCACTCTAGATCTTATAACTGCCGGGCCTCTTTCTTAGCCTTCATTTGAAAGTATCGCCAGAAATCCTTCATTTGTTTTATTTTGTTGTTTTTAAAATCTATTTAATGTGTGTATATAGGCGTTTTTTTTGCCTGCATGTCTGCACCGTCCGTGCCTAGTCCTCTCAGAGGACAGAAGAGGGTATAGACCTTGCAGACTGGCCTGAGCCACCATGCTGGTCCTGGAAATCTAAATGCAGGCTTCACAGGAAGACATGCTCTTTACTGCTAACCCTAACATAAGCCCCCTCTGCTCCTCGTTAGAAATGCGGCATTACTGAGTTTGCGAATTGACCCATTAATTCTATGCTAAGACATACTTCTAACATATTTCCTGTCCCTTTAATTTTCATTTAATCCTGTGAATGAGTTCAAATGTAGCCTAGAGGAGGAATTTTTTTTTTTAACTGTGTGTCCTCTTGAAACAAAAGTAAGATTAAAAAAATAAACCAAGGTACTATAAACAGTTTTCATAACATAGGTATTTGATAAATGGAAAAGTCATTTGAACCTCGTATAGTTAAAAAAACAAACAGAGTAGCCAGGCAGGGTGCTGCAAGCACAAGGAAGGCTGAAGCAGAAAAATCACCGAGACTCCAGTCCAGCTTCATCTATAAACTGGGTTCTAGGTCAGCCTAGGCTACAATGTGAGATGTTCCCAAAGTGGCGGAAAGCTCTGCCTTGTCCAGTGTGAGACCTCGGGTGACGATAGTGCTTCCTGTGTCCCAGGCATTGCATTGGGGTTCTCTCTCTGCTGCAGGTATGATCCCCATGGGCAGCCCACGCAGACAGTGCTCTCTGCCATTGGGTCAGATTAGTTCTCCCTACAGAACCATATCCTGTATGTTTCTCCTGTATTTCTGAGTTTATAGGCATTTGAAGATTGCCCAAGATAGATGGCTTCATTACAATATATGTGCTCCAGGGAAGAAGTGTTCGTCTCATTATTCTTCATCAATAAAAAATTCAGGAGTCAGATGTGGGGTAAGAACCTGAACGATCAGAGAGGTGAAAGGGAAGCCACTAGTGACCTCCTCTCTCTTGTGTTCCCCAATCCAAAAGGCTGAGATCCTGTCTCAGCCCCGCTTTACTACTTCCTGTCTCTCTATCTGTTGTCAGTTAGACCTCTATGGTTAGTTTTGGTCGGCTAGGCGCTAGTTCCGCCCTCTGGGTCAAATCAAACTTTATTGTTGAAATGTGATCAAAATATCACACAACACTCCAGCCTGTAGAGTGGTGACATTTTCCACCCAGTTTCTCATCCATTCCAGAATTCATTCCAGAGAAATTTAAGGCAATCAAGGCCAACATTTCCAACAGTGAATTTGGAAGATCACAAGTTAGAAAAACAATCAGCCAACACTTAAGGCTCAGGATTTAGCTCTTAACCTGCTGTGACCTGTGTGACCTGTGCAAGTCCCTGAGCCTCTTCTGATGTCTTCTCATTCATAAAATGGGGGTTTTGCTTTTAGTTCTGCATAAGGTCACAGTTTTAGTAACTTCATTTTTGTCTATTGTGAAGATAACTAAATGAATGGAGATTAACAAAAGAACACAAGCCTTTTAGGAAAACCTGGGTGTGATAAAGGTTTGAGGATTTTCGTAGTTTCTGTTAGTATATCTCGCTGTTTTATTTGATACACAGCACCGGTGGGTTGATGACAGTGTGGTTGAGTTCTAAGTGAGTTCCCTCTGGAACCCGATCAGATCAGTGCAGTGCCAAGACGCAGTGGAGAGTAAGAGCAAGAGAAGCAGAAGGGTGGTGGCCACCCTTTGCAGCATGGGACACAGTGGCGGGTGTGTGTGTGTGTGTGTGTGTGTGTGTGTGTGTGTGTGTGATGTATGTGTGTGTGTGCATGTGCATGTGTGTGTGTGTGTGTGATGTATGTGTGCGTGTGCGTGTGCGTGTGTGCATGTGTGCATGTGTGTGTGCGTGTGTGTGTCATGTATGTGTGTGTGCATGCATGTGTGTGTGTGATGTATGTGTGTGTGTATATGTGTGTGTGTATATGTGTGTGTGTGTATATGTGTGTGTGATGTGTGTGTGTGTGTGTGCATGTGTGTGATGTATGTGTTGTGAGTGCATGTGCATGTGTGTATGTGTGTGTGTATGATGTATGTGTGTGTGCATGATGTATGTGTGTGCGTGCGTGTGTGTGTGTGCGTGTGTGTGTGTGTGTGTGTGTTGTGTATGTGTGTACTGTTTGTAGCAGCCTTTATGTTTTCTGGGTTTAGCACAGTTACTCTTATTGAAAGTGCTGCACTCTGGAGCAGCTGTGGCCTGCAGCAGAAAGCTGTGAGAACTTACCTAACCTACAAGAGATCTCCCAGATCATGGCTGATGAGGTCGATGTCCCCTCATAGAAAGCTGGGGTCACTGAGCACGTACTTGATTTGCCAGCCACTCCCTTTCTGTACCTCTGGGCGAACTCTCTGCAGTTCCGCCCTAACTGCACTTGGCCCCATTCTCCCAGAAGGCCTGGCGTGTTTGCTGGATGGAAGGGTAACTGGAGAGGGTTTCCATCTGTCCACTCAGGCTGGGTGAGACTTTCCAGTGTGGCTGGTTTGGAGTTATCTGCACCCTTGTAAGTAACCCCTCACCCAGGCCCCGTTAGCATTATAAACGTGCTGGAGCCCTAAGTCAGACTTGGCTTTTTGCTGAGGCCCCGTAATGTATTTTGCTTACATCTCTCCAGGGAGAGAGTTTGGCCACGCTCACATTTAACATTGAAATCGTGTATGTTGAGTGAACAAGGACCAGGAAGGACATGCTTGGTGTAGTGTTTTGTTTGACTTCTTTCCTGGGATGGGTAGAAAACTCTGCATCTGTTTTTCTCAGCTTCTGAATTTTGCATCTCTGATATTCCTGGGGGATGTGATTGCTTCAGTTAGCAAAATCCTCCTAGGGGTGGCCAATCTAACTATTTGATTTGGTGTATTAGACGAAATTATGAAAAGCCACAATTAAAATTATGGAGATAGAACTACAACCCATTTATTACGTCTCTACCAGTATGGTGTTTCCAGTTGCATAATTTTAGTTGCTAATTAGCTTTGGTTTTCTTAGAGTTTATTTTTAACTGGGTTTTCTCTTTTAATAATAACAGGAGGGTATAAAGGTTACCTGGACCTTTGTAATGTATAAATAACTGCACTGTTTTTTTTAGGTTTAAATTTTCTTTCTCCTTTTGGTACAGTGACCCTGCAGAGAGGCTGTGAGAGAGAGTTCAGGGGGTAACAACACTCACCACCGAAGCCTACACCTCAGTTTGATTCCTGGGGCCCACATGGTGGGAAAGAACTGACTCTTGGCCGTTCTCTGACCTACACTCCTGTGCCCTGGCATGTGCTCACACCTACTTTTACACACATACACACATACATAAACAAATGTCACAAAACATTTAAAATGTTTCCATAACCTGATAAACTTCAAAGACTGAGTGCTAAAGGGAAAGGAAATAGTACAATTCAGGACAAATAAATTCAGTCTAAATAAAGTCTGTAAATACACAAAATGACTGCATGTGTTGCTCCTGAATGCGTGTAATCACACTGGGCAATTACTGGCATTGAAATTACGGAACCAACCAATTTTAGAACTGTTGCCCAGAGGTGATTTGGAGTCGGGAGTGTGATAGGCTTCAGTTATGTCTGTAATGGTTTACATTATTAAAAGCTAGGCATAAATGTTTACTCCTTGTTTCTTGATGTATGCTTGCAGCATTTCATAACCTCACCAATGATCCCTAAATCTGATGTTTGTTGGTAAAAATTTTAAGACACTGCAGCCCAAGGTTATACAAACAAACAAGCAAACAGAAACCCATCCAATATGGTATTCTGCTATGTTGGTCCAGATGTTTTTGTTTGCATGTTTGAGCCCCTTGTTGAAGGCACTCAGCCCCCATGGGAAGTATTATGGAATATTTTGCTTTCTAACTGAAGGATTTTCAGGGTCGAAGTCCTTAAAAAACATGAAATGAGGTCAGCGGCTAGCTCCTGGTTTAAACTGTTGTTTGGAAATTTGTTTGATCTGTCCTCTCTGGGGTGTGTGTGTGTGTGGAGAAAACAGTAACAATCTGGATACAATATGATAATAAATTAAATTTTTTCTTAGATCACCATGGCAATGGGACAGAAGTTGATGAGGGCGGTTCGAGTGTTTGAATTTGGTGGACCAGAAGTGCTGAAGCTCCAGTCCAATGTGGCGGTTCCCATCCCAAAAGGCCATCAGGTGGGGACAGTTACTCATTGCAAGCAATGCTTGCCCAGAGTAGGGGCACACATCTACAGAGATGCCGATGAGGACATCGGGCTGTCTGTGTGCATCCTGACAGAACAACACATATGTTAACACTGAAGTGCGCACTTGAATGGGAGTAACTTCTGGCCTCCACAGAATTTCTGATGTTCAAAGTCAGCTCTGTAGTTTAGCAATGGGATCTTAATGTAGTCATGGGAATTCTGGGTAAGTTTTGTTATCACGAACCTCCCAGATTTTTATTTTTGATGTGATGGGAAAGTAACTCCCCTCTGCACTAATGCTCTGTCACGATGGACTTAAGAGAATTCAGTTGTATGATTTAATTGTCTCTCGTGAGTTTTTAATCAATATCCTTTTGACTCAAATTGTATATATTTTTCAAGGCACATTCCATATCTGTAGTCTAATGTAATTAGCAAGCCTTAGAAGAAAAAAAAAATTAAGCTTATCCAAAGCTCATCTTTCCAGGTTCGTTTCTTACTACCCACTCAGCATTCTCTAACAACCTTGAATTTGTCCAGCTTCTCAAAGAGGCCCTCATTCCACCCTTGTACATCCTTTGACCTGAAAAACACACCCCCCCCATTCCTACAGAATTCTCTACTAATTTTTAAGGCCTCTGTAAGACCTCCCATTACTCTTACAGAAGAGAGAGAGAGTGTGTTCTGTAGGAAACCACATGTTTCTGCAATATGGGGGCTCCAACCCAGGGCCTGCAGCACACTAAGTAATCATTCTGCGGACAGTCTACACCCAGCCCCAAACTCTGCTTCCCTGGTAGCTGTAACCTCAGGATCTCCGTGCCAGCAACAGGTTGAAGATTGTTTCCCAGGCCTGCAGTGCTGGTGGGGAGCCCCTCTACCAGGCCCCATTTCATTGTAGGCTTTGTGGACTTGAGCGTGGCGCTCTCGAGGAAAGAGAGGGTCTGGGGAGGTTTCACAGGACCAGGCCTGCAAGTAACTCTAAGTACTTTGGGTCACTTTTCCATGGCTCCCCCTCCATCCATGGGCTCCTCATATGTGAAGGAGGACAGGTGTCTTATGACCAAGACAGCTGTAGGAAAATGAGTTTATTGGGTCTTACTGTTCCAGAGCACAAGTCCATGGGGTTTCTGTTGCTGTGATGAGACTTTGTGAACAAAAGTAACTTGGGAAGTACAGGGTTTATTTCGCTCACACTTCCATATTGTGGTTCATCACTGAAAGCAGTCAGGACCGGAACTCAAGCAGGGCAGGCACCCAGAGGCAGGAGCTGATGCAGAGGCCATGGAGGGGAGCTGCTTACTGGCCTGCTCCTCATGGCTTGCTCAGCCTGCTTTCTTGTGGCACCCAGGACCACCTGCTCAGGTGTGTGGCGCCGCCCACTGTGTTCTGGGCCCTCCCCCATCAGTGTTTAAGAAAATTGCCTGTAGGCTAGTCTACAGTCAGGCCTTATGGAAGCAGCTTCTCAACTGAGGTTCCCTGCTGTGGCATGACTATAGTGTGTGCCAAGTTGACATATAAACTAGCTGGGCACTGTGAAGTACTGTTCCTCATACATGCTGAAGAAGAGGAAGTTGGTCTTAGGGACACGTGGAGTTCCCTGAAACACACCTCTGTGAGCATCTTTCATTGTTTCCTGAAAGTATTGAATGGTGGGTAGGCCAGGCTACCTCACCTCTTCCTGCAGACTTGGAATACAGGCTTGTTGAAGGCAGGGGCTTGTTTAGTCTTATTTATTTTCTCAGCTTTTCTAGCTCCATCACTGTGCTGGTAGCATTGTAAGACCGTGCCACAGCGCTCTGTGGGAACTGAATAGTATTGTCATTCCAGGTTCTAATCAAAGTCCACGCCTGTGGTGTCAACCCAGTAGAGACTTATATTCGCTCTGGAGCCTACAGTCGAAAACCTACCTTGCCCTACACTCCAGGCACCGACGTGGCTGGGGTCATAGTATCTGTCGGGGACAGCGTGTCTGCTTTCAAGGTATTCCATCTTTATTATTTCTATTGTTATTTAACAGCATTCTTTTGAAGTTTAGTTGTAGCTTTAAAGGCTTTCAAAGGTACCCATTGCACAGTTTCTGCCAGTTAGGGGACTCCTAGTCCAAAAAAGAAAATATGTCTTATCTAGAGGCCTTGTTGGGAATCAGTACTGGGTAATTTCTGTGTCATCACAACTCAATGAATGAGTCGAGGTCCATTTAGTCTACTAGAAACTTGTGAGTGGAGAAAACAAATAGGGAGATGGCAGATGGCCCAACTCTTGTCCTACACAGACAGGATTTTTAAATTTCTTTCCACAAGGTAGAGGGCCGGTTAACTCTTTTGGATAAATAAATAAACCATGAGCATATGCAGAGTCACTATGCCATTTTGGGGTAGAGATTAGGGCTATGATTGTGACTGCCATTTTTCTGTCCTGCTGAAAGGCGTGCCCAGCGTGGGAAGTGTCTTTGCAGCATGCTTATGGCCACCCTTTTGTGCCCAGTGTGGGCAGTGTCTTTGCAGCGTGCTTATGGCCACCGTTTTGCCACCTGGTTTCTTGACCTGCTCATCATTGGTACCATATTCACCAAAATTGGGCTTAATTGGATAAAAGCCTGACCTTCCCCTGTGCTGGAAGCAAGCAGACCCCTGCAGCTCTCTGCTTCTCAGTGTGGCAATGTGGCATCTGCCCCCACAGTGCCTCTGACACTTTCTTGCTAATGCCACTGTTGGTCACTATACTCCCGGAGTCAACGGGCCCGTTTATGTTGTCATCTGTCTTAACTTCCTGATGACACTTGACACTTTCAGTTAGTTAACTTTTTCTTAAACAACGACAACGACAAAACCAAGAGCCAGCTTTCACTTTAGTTTGTACGGTGCCACCTGCACTGCTGCCCCTTTCTCTAGGCAGTCCTTGTTTCCCATCCTCACCCTTTGAATGCTGCCTTAGTCCTGTTAAGCGCTCAGTCCCATCCAGACCTGCTTTCTGTGTTTATTCTCTTTCCTCAGTGGTCATAGCCATAGACAGCCTCTGTTTCCTTTCCCAGCTAAGTCCTGGGACTGTGTAGACATGGTGCTCTCTGGCTGTATTCATCAAGCAATTAAATTCCCATTATAAGTCTAGTTCCTATGCCACTGTAGTGGCCTTTCAGGTGGCTAACAGTCCTGTGCCTCTAGCTGCTCCCTTCCCCTGTGAGGGCAGGTGTAGGATGCACCCATCACCACAGACTCTTCTTTTGGGGGAGTGCTGTGTTCTGATATTCAATCCCTAGAAAGCCCTTCCCCAGTCTGTGGAAGGCTGAGATCATCTGCACTCACTGAGGTCTGTCTGACAGCCTTGGTGATAGCTGGTGTTTGGGCCCCTCTCAGTCTACCTGGCACCCTCCTCTTGCTGTGGTCACTTCCTGTGGCTTAGTTTAGGTTGTCTCTCCTAATGAAGTAACGTGACTATAACATGAGTTTTCTTGGCCTGGCTAGGTCCTGCTGCCCTTCTCTTCCACAAAGAAGCACTCGGACACTATATTAATTATGAAACTGTTGGTCGGCGACTATGGTTTCTAATTGGCTAGCTCTGTCTAAATTATTAACCAATTTCTAATAATCTAAGTATTACCATGTGGTCTTCTCTTACCAGAGAAAGGGTCTGGACCTGTTACTCCTCTCTAGTCCTACATAGTGACTGACTCTGGCTGTGTTTCCCAGATTCCTCCATCTCTCCTAGTCCACCTGTCTTGCTTCCCTATTGGCAAACAGCGCTTTATTCATCAACCAACAAGAGAAACATATTTACAGAATGGCATCGCCTATCATGTGACCCACAATCTGTAGGCACCTGCTCCCATCCCCTGTCCCGGGAGCCTGGCTTGTATCTATTTCTTGCATGTTTTGGTGTTGATGAAATACCTCACGGGTGTAAAGCAGGACTGTGTTCTTTCTGTCTTCAGTACTGCAGGCTTCCCTGCACACTCCATGCTCTCCTGGCCGTGTCTACATGCACGCCGTTTCCACAACTTGGCATGAGGGCACTGAATGAAGCCTTGGCATGATGGTGCTGAAGCATACATGTAGCCTCAAGGGCTTCTGTGCCCTGTTTTGTTTCTTTCCATGTCATTCCCTGTGGCTGTCATGTACTGCATATGAAACACCCACCTCCTGTTTGCGGTATAAACTGAAGTTCCCAGAAAATAGCCCCTACCCTGTATTGATGATCTTGCAAACCCAGTGGGCTGGTACAGCTCCCATGGCGACGTAGAGCGGGGATGTTGTGGGGCCTGGGCTAACTTACCTCGGTCTACCTCAGCCCTGCTAATAGCCAGCCATTGCCTCCTCTTTCTTTATGACCATCAGGAAAACCCTTTGTGAATGCACACGCAGACCACAAGCTTCCACCACCCTCAGTGCTAAGAATAGCACCAGACAGCAGCGGGGCCTATAGCAGAGAGTTCTCCCGCTCTGCTCTAACTGCCTCCCATAGTGTCCCCACTAATGTATTTGGAAAGTGCTTGATTGATGGCTCTCTTTGTTCTCTACTTCATGAAGCTGTTAGCATGTGGGAACCTGGAGCAGAACTGACTAGAATCTCTGTTCCCAGGCTGTGGTCACTCAAGGCTCCACGATGAGTTCTTGCTCCCTTTGAGGTAACAGCTTTGTTTTTGCACAAACAGAAGGAAATGCTTGTCACGTCTCAGTGTTTGCTCTTGGCCGAGTCCTTTGCCTCATTCTAGCCCTGTTCTTCAGGTCTCAGCCTGACTTCCGAGGACTGCCTCAAACGCCCACATGCCTGTGGAGGGTCTTCAGCTTCCTCAGTGTAGAATCACGTCTTTCTTTTCTCAGCCCCATGATGCCGTGTTTGCTTGCTTTATCATTGCATGAATTCCTTTCCCTCCCCTCCTGGAGGTGACCTTGCTGGAGACTTGGGACAGTGTCTTGCTACTGGCATCCCTCACAGGACTCCAAAGTAACTTTCCTTCTAGCAAGTTCTTAACGCTTGAATCTCACGGAACTCAACTGGGCCTGTTTCAAGCCATAGAACAGGGACTCCTCTTACATATCTTCCTTGTCCATTCCCCGACAACACGGCCCAATGCTCACACTTGCCTTTGGCTCCCAGTTTCCTTCCAAAGCCTTTTCATATCCAAACTACAGCTCAGTGCTGTTAGCTTTTCATATTTCTTTACCACAGGGCCAGTTTGAGTATATTGAGGCCCCCATTGCACAATACGTTATTTCGTGGTCTTTCTACTTTCTTTTTTTTCTCCCTAGAGATGTAGGCCATGTGTTCAGGCAGCCAGCATGTGGGGCACGTTAGACTAGGCTGTGCATGTGCTTTTCCATGACCAGGGTGCAGCAGGTGGCATTAACAGGGTGCTTTGCTTTCTGCTGTGGACGTATGGGGTCTGCTCTGGCTCTTCCTGCTGTTTCAATGCGATGCTTAATTGGATGAAAATAGGACACTTAAGTTCACTTCAGTTTCCTCCTCAGTAGCAGGGACGATGGAGCACCCACCTTCCCTGGGTCACTGTGGTGGCTGTGTAGAAGGACACGGTGTCTAGCTTAGCAAGTGCTCAGCAGAGCTACAGTAGCACCCCCCTCTCCTTTAACACCTCTTTTTGTAAGCCCCTGCTTAGAAAACATGTATAGAGGGTCAGGGTTTCAGCTGTGTTCATGAGACGCTGAGTTGAAGATATCCACGTGTAAATGACTATTTCTCACTGAAAGTCTGGCATTGTGAGACTCTCGTCCACCTTGGCATAACTGGAGTCGCTGATTGTGCCTTTGTTGATCTCTCTTTCAGAAAGGTGACCGGGTCTTCTGCTCCAACACAGTTTCTGGCGGCTATGCAGAGTTTGCTCTTGCAGCGGATCACACTGTCTACACCCTGCCCGAGACCCTGGACTTTAGGCAGGGGGCCGCACTTGGGATCCCGTACTTCACAGCCTGCCGAGCTCTGTTCCACAGGTGAGGTGGCACTGTGACTTCACAGCCAGCCCACACAGGCAGCCCTCACCACCTGCCTTCTGCCTGCCCAGTGCTGCTTGTCAAAAATGGCTGTTGCTCATTTGCTGTTAAGCATTTCTGGGGTTGTGACCATCACATAGGGGACAGAAGTTTGATCATTTTGAGTTAAAAAGAAGAAATCAATCCCTTGAATGCAGATCATTTTCCCAAAAACTGGGACTCAGGAGGGAAATATTAGAAGGCACCGAGGTCAGATTTATCTGTGTCTTAGTCACTGTTCTATGGCTGTGAAGAGAAACCATGGCCACAGCAACTCTTATAAAGGAAAACACTTAACTGGGGGCTTCCTTATGGTTTCAGGGCATCAGTCCATTAACGTCATGACAGAGATCATAGCAGCAGGGGTGCAGGCATGATCCTGGGGAAAGAAGGAACTGAGAGCAGTACCCTGATCACAGCAGAGAGAGGAACTGAGAGCAGTACCCTGATCACAGCAGAGAGAGGAGATGAGAGCAGTACCCTGATCACAGCAGAGAGAGGAGCTGAGAGCAGTACCCTGATCACAGCAGAGAGAGGAGCTGAGAGCAGTACCCTGATCACAGTAGAGAGAGGAGATGAGAGCAGTACCCTGATCACAGCAGAGAGAGGAGATGAGAGCAGTACCCTGATCACAGCAGAGAGAGGAGATGAGAGCAGTACCCTGATCACAGCAGAGAGAGGAGATGAGAGCAGTACCCTGATCACAGCAGAGAGAGGGTGCCTGGGCCTGGCTTGGACTTTTGAGACCTCAGAGTCCACCTCCAATGACACTCTTCCTCCAACATGGCCACATCACCTAATCTTTCTAATCTTGTCAAACAGTGCCACTCCCTCGTGCCTAAGCTTTCAAATATATGGGCCTATGGGGCCATTCTTACTCAAACCACCACATACATTTGTCGAATATTTCAAGGGAGTCAGGTTTTCTGATTAATCCACGGCTCTTTGGTGGTGAGAGGAAGTCAGGGAAAGGTAGTAAGAGCTCTAAGAGAAGGAACAGCTGAAGTGGCAGTCACAGCCCTGGCACAGGTGTAACGTGGACATTTTATGGGGTGTCATGGGGACCTTGGAGACTCAGCACTGCTCTTTTGGGAACTGCTCAGATCTGATTTTCAGAGGTGTGCAGAGGTCAGGACATTTTCCTAGCCCTGCCAAAAGCAGCCCTCCTGCTGCTTCCTGGGTAACCCTGAAGGACAGGATAAAGGCTGAGCTGTTTAAAACTTGTCTGGGGACTCTCTGTGTGGACACAGGACATGAGGGACTCCAGTCCTCCTGGTTCAGAGGTTCCACCAGCGTCCAAGGACTATACCCTAAGAATTGCAGTGTGATTTCTGCATCCTTCGTGGACAGAGGCAGGTAGCAGAAGCCCATGGCATCTTGGGAGTGGGTACTGCATGGGAGGTGTGTCTTCATTGTGGCTATGGGGAGCATCCCTTGAGCCCTGGGGTCAGGATTTTTGACTCCATGCCAGGGTGCAGTGGTGTTAGCCGAAGCAAGGGTAGGGGCTTCCTCAAAGATAATGGGAAATACCAGCTCTTGGTTTGCTGCAAAGGAGAGTAATGGCGCCTCTGCTTTGTTCTGCAGTGCCCGTGTGCAAGCTGGGGAAAGCGTCCTGGTTCACGGGGCCAGTGGAGGTGTGAGTATCTGCATTTTTACGTTTGTGTTTAAGTGAGCATGGAGTTAGGGGTCTCACATCATAGTTGCTGAAATATCTTTACCTTTTTGTTTTTAAAATTGAAGTTATTCTTTGAGGATTTCATGCATGCACTCAATGTGTTTGATCTACCCCCCCCCCAGACACACACACACACACACACACACACACACACACACACACACACACTCTCATCCTTCCCAGCTTCATGTCTTCTTCTTTTAAAATAACCCATTGGGTCCAAAGTCAGTGATGCTTAGATGAAAAGCCGTCCACAGGAGCACAGTGGGCCCAGGAGTGCCAGACCCCTGCAGAACATTGTCCCTTCCTCCCCAGCCACTGTCAGCTGCTGGTAGCTCCTCAGCTGGGACTAGACCTTGTGCATCCCTTGCTGGGATGCTGATATTGTCCAGAGTAAAGGGAATTTGGAGAGCCAGTTTTATAGTCATGCTCCCCCTCCTGTGCCTTTAATGCCAGGAGACTTCTCCAGATGCGGTCCCTGAGTGGGATTTATGGCTGATGCCGTGGCATTTCTTGCCCACTACATTCAGGAGACACCTCATAAAAAATTAATGCAGTAGGTTTTCCACCACATTGGGAGGGCACCAACACTGGCCTTGTCTTTGCCTTCAGGTGGCGTAGGCTATTGTTCTTAGAATTATATGGCATTTTAAGCTATTCAAAGGTGAACAATAGTTGCTCCGTATTCCCTTAGATAACAAAATAAGGCTCATTAAACCTCTTGGGCAGTGGTCAGCTTCTCTTCTGTCCAGCTCTCCTGCCCCAGTGCACAAACACTGATGACGTCCGAGGAGTGCATGGTGTGTAGCTGTGTGCTCAGCACCACAACCCAAGGCTGCAAACGCTAACATTTCGTGGGGAAAGGATTCAGAAGGTAGCACCTAAGCCCCTTTAGGAAGTCACCAAGCATAGCACTGTTAGACTCCTCCCCAGGAATCTTACTGCAGTCTGTCTCCAAGGAGCACGGAGGGAAAGCTAGAGCCATGCATTTGGAATTTAATATCCCAGCTCAGTGAGACATTGGAAATGTTGGAGACAAGATTTCACGTTGTTAAAAGCCGGGGTCTGGTGCATGATGGCTCACCTGCAGGGAGCTTCTCACCCCTCAGTACAGGGTGTTCTGGGGAGGACATGGAAAGGGGTAACTCATGGGCACAGCATGCCCCGTGGAATGATGGTAGTGCCCTGACAGTAAGACTCAGCCTCTAAAAGTCCCAGGTAACTCAAACAGTCAGCCCACTTTGTGTCTTTAGAGATGAACTTCCTCATTTCATCTCTGGTTTCCTGGATGACTCCAAGAAATCAATCCTGGGGAATTTCACAGATCACACTATTTGTCAAGAAGCCCAGAGTATCTCTATGGCTTGAAAAAAACAGACTTCACTGTTTGCCGTCACCAAAGGCTGGTTTTGGATGAAGTTTAAATTTAACCTAATAACCAAAGGGTTGAAAAGCACATGTGTCTGTTTAAATTGCTGTGGCTTTCTGAGAGCCTGGTGCTCTGTAGAGAAGAGAGATTTTGGTACAGTAGAGAGAGAGGAGTTTAAAGGAAATCCCTTTATTCCCTTCACCCTCCGTAGAAAGCCCTGTCGCCTCAGAGGGATTGGTTTGCTTTTTTAAAAGGTAAAATCCAAACTGTTGGTTTTCAGAGCTGGCTGAACCTGCTAAATCCTGGCTGGCTGGGATGGCTGTCCGCCTGGGGTGTGAAGCGCCTCTGATCCCCTGCCCTATCTGAGGGAGACAGCACTGGCTGTTGCCTGGCTTCTGTCTGTACTCTCCGTTCTCACTTAATTTGAATTCCTGCAGGGTCATGTTGTGGGTTTAAAGTGATGTGGATTTACGAACACAGCCGTTGTCCCAGTATGTTGGTGGGGAGTGCCTCATTTTAGTGTTAGCAAAATATGTTGGAGAAAAATAGCTGACAGACAATGGAACATAATCTCTTGGAGAAATATTGTGCATCTAATTGCTGGCAAGAAAATAGCAGCCAGAGCCATTCAGAGGACTACTGAAAGGAGAGTATTACATGATATGTTTGCATTAAATCTGTACCTTAAACATGTTATTTTATTAGAATCATAGTGTTAATAGAAAGTGTAAGTCAGAGAGTAGATTGTGATGACCCCGTGGTGCAGTGTTTTGCCTAATAGGCTGGCTTCTTCTTCATTAGATGGAGCCCTGCATACCTGTTTTGGTTAGGAATAAATCTCCTCCCCAAACCTCAGACTGCAATCCCAGACTGCTGCCTCTTCCTTTCAGACCTCTCAAATCATGGGATTAAAGGCGTGTGATTCCAGATGCTGAGGCCACCTTTGTGTGAGCTGTTTCTCTTTAGGACTGTATCAGTTTTGTGTAGCTCAGTGTGGCCTTGGACTAACAGAGATCCATCTGCTTGTCTCTTGAGTGCTGAGATTAAAGGTGTGTGCCACCACTTCCTGGCTCTAGGGCTTGTGGCTAGTTTTGCTTCCTGTGCCTTCAGACAAGCTTTAATAACACACACACACACACACACACACACACACACACACACACACACACACACAACACAAACACACAAGAGCA